TTTCATTTAATTTACAACTTTAAGAAACTCATTCTTAGTGGATGATATCTCAATAAATGACACTTGAGATTAGATGGGATTAATTTTCTACTGATTAATTAATTAATGACTTAATAGTATTTTTTTTTTAGATTGCATGTTGTGTTAAATTTGTTAGATTTTGTTATTATTTACATGTGAACTGTCTATAAGATCTTTTGTTCAACAAAATTAAGTTATGGTTTGAACGATAAATTTATAATTTTCCGTTTTAGTCACTCTAATTTCATGACGTAGTAGCATTTAATCACCCGGAATTCAATTTCAATAGCGGATTTGAATAATGTTTAATCATGTTAATCAAACATTTCACAAGCTCTTACTATTCAGTCAATAAATTGACCAAATGTTGTTTAATTAAATCTTTATTTATTTATTAATTTAAAACTAGAAATTAAATTTTGATGATGAATTGGAATAATGGGTTTTCAAAATGGAGCATGCTTTGTTGATGAATGATCACGCCTCTTAATTGGAAACACGAATGAGTTTTTTTCACCTGTTGCAGCAGATGGAATCTTCTTTTTTTTTTTTTTTTTTTACTTTAATTTCTCTTACTACAGGATCTTAGTTATGATTAATATTGTACAATAAAGAAATTAGAAAAATAAAAATTAAATAAAAAAAAATAAAAGTAGCCACGCCTCTAAATAATTAGTCTTCAATTCCGATGTCTGTACTAAATGTTTCCACCTGAGTAAACACTCTCAATTGCCAAACAGTTAATCCCTAGCTAATAGTAACTACAAACCATTTTCTTTTTCTAATTTATTTAAAATTTAAATTTAATGATGTGACACCACTAAATAGTAAATACCAACCACTATTTTGAAGGGCAAAACATGAAAATACATGAATATTTAACTACCATTTCAGATCTTATGTAAAAAATAAATCCCAATAAATGTAGTGTAGTGTTTGTTATTACATGGATTATTATATTTTATATTTTAGACAAAATTAGCTAATGTTATTACATCTAAATTAAATAACAAAAAAAAATTGCATTTTTTTAAACAAAAAATTATCATATATTAAAAAATTTGGTTTGCTCAAAATTATTTGACTAGTATTTCGAACGTATGCTTCTTACAACAAATCGGTGTGTATAAATGTACGATAGAATACAATCGATAAGTTCGTCAAGTGTGGTATAAAACTAATGTCATTCGAGTGTAGTACGTCGTATATATGTAGAATATCGAAGGCACTATATATATGTGTACACACATCTGTCTTTGGAGTGAGATAGAGATATATATGTGTCACACATATATATGTTTGGCGCGCAGGGAGAGAGAGTGGAGTAAATGTCTCAAACTCACACACCCTCGCGCGTCATATACTATACGCTCACGCGGGAGACATATATATTTTTTTGATTTTCCCTATATATATATCTCTCGAACAATATATAAATTACATATATTTCATCTTTCCAGGAGAGCGTGTTTTTTATATATATATATATATATATATATATATATATATATATATATATATATATATATATATATATATATATATATATATAAGTGTGAGCCCAAAAGAGAGAAGAAGATATACAGATGGCAATAAATATTAGAAGCTGTATTGGTCAGGCTGGTGTCCGACCGGTTCTTTCTGGCCGGGTCAGTACCCGGCCCGCCCACTCCTCCCACCTAAACCTTTTAGCTTTGTCCCTCCTCTATAATATTCTCCCTAATTCCATAATCACCTATTAATTACCACTTAACTCTTAAGCTAATTACAAGGCTTACCATTAATTTTCTTGATTAAAAAAAAATGGTCATAAGTGAGAGGGGACACAGTGTTGTATAAAGTAGAGGAGTGAATAATTTTGAGTATATCCCATTATGGGATTGGAGTAAGGTATTTTAGGAGTGGGCTGTTAGTGGAAACACTAATTATTAATTAATTAATATTACCTTAAACAATTAATTAATGACGATTAATTATCGTCCCTCGTGCAAATTAAAGGTTCAAAAGTGCCTAATTTTGAGTGGTGGGATAAAGATTTATGTGTCTTCAAAAGTATCCATAAATTCAGGAGTATTTATTTTTTCTCCCTTTCCCTTCAATTTTTATTATCTTCTCATTAATGTAACGTGTTCACTCATTTCAATTATTTCTTCCTTTTCTCACTAGTGATCCGAAAAATAATAATTTAAAATTATTATAAGTTCGATTCTATTTGCTAACACTTTCTAAGTCGAGTCTCTATACATGGCTTATCAATTACGGTTTATGTATGTCGCATGGTTTTCGAACTATTACACAAGGGTAAATTACACTTAATCCTCATGTGGATTAAACGTTGTGCACATGACCCCCAATAGTTTGAGTTTTGTGCAAATGACTCCATTATACTTTTAATATAAGTATAAAACCCCCTATAGTATTCTACTTGATGAATAATTTATAATCATGATCATTTGAAAGTACAAGCACGTTATGTATTATATTAAAATACAAGGAGTCATATGCTATATTAAAAGTATAAGGGGATTATATGCACAAATTCAAACCAGAATGGGGCAAGTGCTATTTATCTTTTTCTTTTTTTAGGGCAAATTAAAGTCACCCCTGAGTTATGTCAAATTACAAAAACCCTCCTCGTGTTTGGATAATTACAACCACCCCCTTAACTATGTATTATCTTACAAAAAAGCCCCTCTAGGGTAATTTAGGGATGTTAAATCGGTAAAAACGAATCGAAATTTTGGTACGCGAACATTTCATACCGTATACCGAACTGAATATACGATTTGGTACGGTAAACAACCAAATTACATAAATTTTATGTAAAAATATTTAAAATAAGGGTGTAATTGTAATTACCCAAACAAGAGAGTTTTTTTCCGTAATTTTGCCATACCTGTGTCCACAATTTGGGCTTTTTTTATTATAGAAATATTTGAGTGGGTTAACATAGATACCCACGTAATGATTGAGAAAACCAAATCGCTTCACGAGGAGTTGTAGGCAAAAAAAAAAAAAAAATCTAAATATATTCAAACTTGACTCAGTATTACAAGATCTGCCATTTTATTAATTTTCAGTTAAAATATAATAATGGTTGTGACTTGTGATATAATAACATATTCGATGTACTTGTACGGTATATATATAAATAAAATAATTCATGTTGCTTGATATTATTGCTATAAATTTATTAACTGCAGAGAAATAAATATTCAATAGTGATACATAGATGCAATGCACTTAAATTATATTAAATAGACACTTTATTACTCAAGTAAATTATCTAGAGAATAAGGATTTAAATATAGTTTTCTTAATTAAAATAAAAAATAGCGCACCGTGTTTAATATTCTATGTTATCATATATTGCATATCATCATAAATATACAGATATATATCAATATATATTTCATTATAATAAATATATAAAATGAAAAAAAAAAATACAGTAGGTGACAGAGTACATAGTCGGGGTAGTGTGTGTGGTGGGGTTAAATGGATGGATGAGGACACATTGTGTTACCCACCCACCCCCTCGTGTGCACCATCTTTCGACCGCCGCTCACCACCACACTCCGCCACCACCCCAAACCCCCCTCCGCCCCCACCCCCCGCCCCCACACCCCCCTCATCATTAATAGCATGCTTCCAAATAGATGCTACACAAAAGACACATATGATTGTCTTACCATAAGACAAGGTAAATCAATTGCTTAGACATTAGTCAAGTTTGATAATTTTCATGATTTTATAGGTGCATTTTAGTAATTTTAACAATCATAATATTATTTCACTCCAAGTATATATATAGTGTACGTACACAAAATAATAGTTTTATAGGTGATAATTGCTCTCAAATGTTTGTTTGTTTAATTTTTTTATTTATTTATGATTTTGTATATTTGATTTGTACTTAATAACAAAACGTATGATTGGGGCTTAGGTGGTGTTTCAAAAGCTTTACTCAAAACCAAATGCTAGTGACGGTAAGTTAAATGCTTATTTTTAAAAGTTGGGAGTGTATGTAAATAGTCTGAAAAATGAAATTAAATAGGAAAAAAAAAACGTTCTAGATGTGCTTTCAGAAAAATGGTTTAACACACTTACTTGAAAAGAAACAAAAACAAAAGTTCATTTTACAAGCACGACAAAACAAATGTTTAAACAAAAAAAAAAACATTGAGAAGCTAATTTTTAAAGATTTTTACAAACACCACCTTAATGTGTTACAAATTAAAGCAACCAATTCTAATTAGGTGGTGTTTGTAAATGCTTTTAAAAATAGATTATGAGTTTGCTTTTGCATAACAAGTTTTTGCTTTTGCTTATTAAAATAAGTTGTTTTAAGTTATAATTTTAAAAGCATCCGTGTACCTACTTTTTATATTTTAGTTGATTTTTCAGCAAATTTACAAACACCCCCAACTTTTCGAAATAATCACTTAATTCCAACTTAACTCACAATTACTAACTTCTACTTTTATATAAGCTTTTGCAAACATCACCTTAGGATTTAACTATTTTGAAATTTCGTATTTATCTAATGCTATGAGACTGTAAGTAATACCAAAAAAACAATTTTTTTTTTATTATTGAAAATATCAAATAATTTATTTTACATATCAAAATTTAATTTGATTTATTTTTATATTTTAGAAAAAAAAAAAAGAATAAATGGTCTCTTAATTAATTTTGTAACTACTTTTGATCATAAAATAGCTAGAGATGTGCATGTATTTAATTTAATCCTTTCCTTTATTATAATTATTTTTTATATTTTATTTTTAATTAATTTAATAGCTGGGGTAGTGGGATGAGGGGTTGTCTTGTCAGGGCAAAAGGCAAAAGAGAGAAAGATCAAAGGGTGGTGGTAGATAATATAATAGAGATCAAGAAGAAAGAAGAAAGAATGTGGGAGACAGCCAAAAACATTTCATGGAGCTCACTCTTTTTACACTAAATTTTTCTAGGGTCCATCTCTAATTTCTATATTTTAGTGGGGCCTTACTATAATTTACATTAATTCCTTCTTCCCTCCTCATCTCTATTTATATCACCCCCTACTTGGAAAATTAAATCACCACAACTTCATCAAAACCAAATTAAACAACACACACACACACTCCCTCTCTTTTTTTCCGACCGATCATTATCTCCGATGGCGGATTCCGGTGGCGGCTCGGCCAGTACGGTTGGTCGGAGCATATGTTCTATCCCGGAGAAGTTTCAGCTCCACATTGCCATGCTGGCGTTGCAGTTCGGTTACGCCGGTTTCCACGTGGTGTCACGTGCTGCACTTAACGCCGGCATTAGCAAGATCGTGTTCCCTGTTTATAGGAACATTCTTGCCTTCTTTCTCCTCTTGCCCTTCGCCTATTTTCTTGAAAAGTATGCCCTTTTATTTATCTATTATTCGATATCTGCCCCCCTTCTTTTTTTTTTTATATATATTATTTCGGATTTAAAATTTTATTTTATTTGATGAATGATATTCAGGAAAGAGAGGCCACGTATTACTTTGAACTTCCTCATCCAGTTTTTCCTACTAGCGATTGTTGGGTACGAATGTTGTTGCAATATGAATTAGAAAATTAGTTAAAAGACTAATTTAATTAATTAATTAAATTAATTAATTACAGGATTACTGCAAATCAAGGGTTTTACTTGCTGGGATTGGACAACACGTCGCCAACTTTTGCGTCGGCGATACAGAATTCAGTGCCGGCGATTACATTCCTCATGGCTCTCGTACTCGGGTAAGCCCACGCGCCTTAAACAAATTTATTTTTATTTTTATTTATCATGAAAAATATAGTAAAATATAATTCTGAAAAAAAAAATAAAAAATTAATGATTATTCAGGATAGAAAAGTTGAGGCTTGACAGAAAAGACGGGATCTCGAAGTTGGCGGGAACGCTCCTCTGCGTGGCGGGAGCGTCGGTGATCACGCTGTTCAAGGGGCCCACAATCTACAGCCCGTCGCCGCGGCTTCAGGCAGCGGTGGCGGCGCCGGAGGTGCTGGCGGCGCTGGGAGACGCGAGCGGGAAGAACTGGACGCTGGGGTGCTTGTTCCTGATCGGTCACTGCCTGTCGTGGTCGGGGTGGCTGGTGCTGCAGGCGCCGATACTTAAAAAGTACCCGGCTCGGCTCAGCTTCACTTCTTACCAGTGCTTCTTCGGCGTGATCCAGTTCCTTGTCATCGCCGCCTTTGTCGAGAGGGACCCACAGGCTTGGCTCGTCCACTCCGGCTCTGAGCTGTTCAGTGTTTTCTACGCCGTAAGTAGTAGTAAATGCAGTTAGCTAGCAGAGTCGAGATTAATAAAATTCTAGTGAAATATTAAATTATCGAACTAATAATATATATATATTTTTTTTTTATCGGTGGTGGTGCAGGGGGTGGTGGCATCAGGGATAGCATTCGCTGTACAGATATGGTGCATTGATAGAGGGGGTCCGGTGTTCGTGGCGGTGTATCAGCCTGTTCAAACGCTAGTTGTCGCTATTATGGCTTCCCTTCTTTTGGGAGAGGAATTCTACTTGGGAGGGTGGGTTTTTTTTTATTTCTTTATTATTTTATTTCTTTATTTTCATTTTTATTTTATTTCACAATATTTCAATTTTCAACTCATTACGAAATATTCCGTTATTTTATTTTATTTATTTTTTATTTGCAATTTTATTCTAATATTTTCTCTTGTCTATTTCTTGAATTTAAAAATAGTCAATGGTTTTCCAATCCTTTTTTAAGGGTAAATTACGAAAAACCCCTGAACTTAGGCTAAATAACGAGAAAACACCATACTTATTGGTAATTACGAAAAAAACCCTGATATTTGTTTTCGTCTTATACCAACCCTATTACAGTGTGATTTTTCACGATTTTCTCCATGCAAAGACTTTACACAATTGCCAAAAAAAAAATTATTTCTCACCTATTTAACAGAAGGTATAATAGGTTGTAAACATTTTCTGTTAAAAAACTCGATCAACAATTAATCAGAAGGTGATTTTAGTTATTACGGACAAGTGGAGGTGTTTTGCCTTATTTAGCCTAAGCTCACGGGATTTTTTGTAATTTACGTTTTTTTAATCAGAAAATGCACGTGTATTGAATTTACAATTTATTTTTTTAATAATGTTTAAATTAAATAATTTATTGGAAAGTATATCTTTCGAATGATGTGGTCCAACATTGACTAATATGGGGATGCGTTGCACAGGATAATTGGCGCAGTGCTGATCATAAGCGGATTGTACTTTGTGCTGTGGGGGAAGAACGAGGAGAGGAAATTCGCTCAGCAGGCGGCGATCGAGTCCCCCGCGGACCACGGTATCGAAAGAGCAGCCCCACAAATCAAGTCATCCATCACTCAGCCACTCCTCTCTCAGTCAACGCACAATGTTTGACCGCCAAAAACCTAACTTTAGTGCTGGAAAAGGCAAAAAAGAAGAATGAGAAGTGAAATCTCGAGTCCTAATTAATTCAGCTATTTTGTATTTTGAAAAATGGATTGAAGTGTGTATTAAAGTTGTGTTTTAGTATTTATTAGTATTTTTTTTTCTTTTTTTTTTTTTTTTTAATTTTTAATTTTTAATTTCCAATTTGGTAGCTAGGAGAGTGGATTGAAGAAATCGAGTGGAAAAAAAAGATGATTATGATCTTGTATTATGGGGTCTAAGCATGGACATCCCTTTTGGTTTTTAATTATAATGTTTAATTTTTTTTCTAATTTTAATGGTGTTTGATTAAATCATGAGTTGATCGAATTTCACACTCGCAAATTATAAATGCATAAATGCTGTACGCTTAACTAGGAATGAACCATTTTAATTTTTTGAGATGCAATATATGTGAGACAGACCTCATTTGTTTACATAGGATTATATAAAATTGAATTAATATTATAGTGATTAATTAATTATTTAGTCATCAGGATGTTTAATTTATTAGATTCAATCTTGTATCAAATTTATTAAATTATGGTATTAAATGTGAAAGTGTCTAAAAAGTATTTTCATTTAACAAAATTAAGATACTATTTCAAGGATAAAATTATCTTTTCTATTTTAACCATTCTCTATAAAATTAATTGCATGAGGGAGGGGTACTACTAATTTAACAAAATAGTAGCATTTAATTGCCAACTTTAAGTATAATTTTGAGCTTGATTAAATATAAATCTTTTCAATCCAAATATCTTACTAATTCATATTATTTAGTTAATAAAACTTATGAGATCTTAGGAATTAATTAAATAAAATAAGAAAAGGGAATGAAAAAAATAAATATATTAAATAAAGGAGCAATATAATGATCACAAAATATATATAGAAAGATATTTTGGTATGTTGCTCATGGCATGTACTCATAATTGGGTTGTCACTACTCAACCCTTTATAAGCTTTCTTTCTTTTCTATGTCTGTCAAATAATTATGCTGTCAATAAATTCATAATATAAAATAGCAAATAAATAAAAGAGAGATTAAATGAAATAGACCCCACTAGAAATGTGTGATCAAATGATGGCTGTTAAGCACGATTCCCATTCTACTAATAGAGTTTAAAATATGTTTTTGCTTAATTAACCAAAAAAAAAAAAAAAACATATTTTTCTTTCAGTTTGATCCATAAAAGAAAATGATGGGATTATTTATAAATTATTAACATTATAAGTTTGCTAGAAAGAACGACACTATCTTTCGATGTAGAAAGCGTTCGTTGACATGAAAATTGCACTCGGGTTATTTGACCGGGCGAGTTGCACTTTCTTGGTCCATCAATTACAAATTTTGAATATGTAGATATTACATGAGGTTTTTTTTTTTTTTTTTTATATATTAATGTACTCAAATAGAAAAATTAAATGTACTTGATTTTATTTGTTTAATTTTTCTTTAATGGAGCTCCCTATTGCTACAATAAAGAACAGGCAGCAGAAAACACGAAGCATCTTAACTTTCGAACTAGATATTTTTTTTATGTAAAGTGTAAACCACAATTTTTGGGGCACTATTAATTGTGACGATTATGCTCTCTCTTTTGTAAATCATCAATACATCATAGGGTGAATGAATTGCGTTTTGCACCCTAGAAATAACATAGATTGATGATTTGCACCCCCAAATTCTAAATTTAGCAAAATGCACCCTCGAATTATATATCTCTCGGCAACTTGCACCCTATATTATCTTTTTGCAAATTTTGAACCAATAAATCAATACATACCCATATTCAGAATATATTTTAAAGGGCAAATTATTTGAAAAAAAAGGCATCTGCAACAAATTATTAAACATAATATTTGATGCTCGAGCTCCATCCTACGTATATATGTAACTAATGAACTGCATTTTTATCCATTTTTCTTTTGAGAAGTTTCTAATTTTTTTTTTTTTGAATAATGTTGAAACACAATGTATTTTGTACATTACATGAGATATTGATATACATTATAATTAAACATTTCACATGTATGCCTAATACATTGACTTATCTATTTTCAAGAATTGGAAAAACAGATGGATTTAATTACCATAAATCAAGAGATGAGAGTTGCCTAATAAAATTTCTTTAAATTGGAGGGGTAAGATAATAAATAAGATAACTAACAAGTTATTTACGCAAGAAATTGTAAGTATCAAAAGATTCCGTCGCCGTTATCATGTACTTGGCCGGCGGCCAATTCCACCGCCGCCGCAGGTTCACTTCTCCGACCCTTATACCGCCGCGCCACCCACAAATACACAAAGAAATTCAACGCGTTGACCCCCGTCAAAATCCAGTAGAAGTAATCGAGCCGGCTCTCGTTGAGATCTTCCCTCAGCCACCCCTTCCTCACTCCACCGCTGCCTCTCACAACCATCTTCACGGCGGCGGAGCTCAGCCAGCTCCCGATCCCGATCTCGCTCAAAAACACGGCGCTGCTGATGCTCCTCGTCCCTTCCGTCGCCTCGTCGTAGAAAAACTCCAGCTGCCCCACGTAAGAGAAAACCTCCGCCGTCCCGATCAGAAAGCACTGCGGGAAAAGCCAGAACACGCTGACCCTCGAACCGCCGGAGCTTTCTCCCCGGCGAGTCCTCTCCACCGCGGCGGCGGAAACCATGGCGAAGATCGACACGAACAGACCCGCGCCTATACGCTGCAACGAGGTGATGCCACGTGGGTGGCCGGTCCTCGCCCGGAGAAACGGGACGGCGAGCTTCTCGTAGATGGGGATTACTATTAGTGCGTTGAAGGAGCTGAAAACCGGGACTGAACCGGCCGGGATTTTAAAATCCGGTCCGAGATTCCGGTCCATGGTGTTGGCCTGAGCGATGAAGAATGTCGACAGCTGGGCGTAGGAGATGGAGAGGGCGATGGTGGCAGCCCAAACCGGAAGGATTCGTATGAATGATTTGAACTCTTCCACTTGTGTGATTGTGCAGATTTTCCACCGGTTCTTTGTCTCGCCGCCCGGTTCAATTATCACGGCTGCTTTATCCAAACACCTGCAATTGTGGATTTATTTAACATAATTTTTGTTAACTAATTTGAATTTCCAACGATTCAGATCCTAACATTTTCGATTTTGGAACAATATTTTTTTCTTCTTTTCATTCTGAATTTCGAATTTCGAATGTTGCGATTTTCTTGGAATGGAATTGAAATGCGTGTTAGATTTCCAAGTTCCAAATCCATTTTAATTTTACAAATATTCTAGTTTATTTCCTAAATTTACATTTTCAATATCGATGTTATTATATATTGTTATGTAGTATTTTATATTACGGGATGACCAAAAAATATGAAATTATATATTCCACCTGACTTCGATGTGAAATATTTCAATTTTGAAACATGTCTTTTATTTCAATTTCCGGAATTCTAAATTCTGATTTTGTCTTTTGGGAACATAACTGGAATTAATTTTTCACTTTCAAAATGTTTTAGAATTAATTCAAATCCCTACCCTAGAGCTTTACAACTAAAAAAATAAATTTATAATAGGATAAATTACAATCACCCCCTGAGCCCTGAGGTATGGTCAAATTACGAGGAAAAAACCCCCTCATGTTTGGATAATTATATCTACCCTTGAAATTCAACATAAACATCTAGATTCCATGGAATGTTCTCTAGTTTATACTCGTTTTCTGGCAAAAATATAGTTTCTGATGCACCACAATCAGATATATACAGGCCAAAAAACACATCTTATGATCATTTTGCTTCAAAATGTGGAGCTCGAATGAGATAAAACAGATACAAAATTGAGAATATTCCATATAATCTAAAAGATTCCACTAAATTTGAAACCGCAAGGGTAGACGTGTAAGAACATTTATAGTTAATGGGTGGCTGTAATTACCCAAACAGGAGGGTTTTTTCGTAATTTAACCATAACTCAGGGGTGGTTGTAATTTACCTCATGGTTAACAATTTTCAAGTAATCTAATTTTAGAAAAAATAAAATAAAATAAATAATAGAAACAAAACCTGTATTGTTGAGTATGGGGAAGCTTTGCAGCACCACAAATATCAGATTCCTTAGAATCAACCTCATAAAGATTCCCACCTTCTTTTACAACCCCAACACCTTTCAAATGATTCCTCAATGAAACCACAATCACTTGTGTTGGCACGAGATTTCTACTTGTGAAGATTGAAGAAATCCGCCATACGTGGAAATTAAAGATTGGCAAAGATTTGTTTTCCATGTTTATTTTGGAATTAATTAGAGTCCTATTTTTGTAATATTGTTATTAGGACTTAGATTTATTTCCATGTATTATATTCTAGTTAGGTATCTTTTGTACTTATCTAGAATAGAAGTAGAAATCGACTAGGATTCTATTACCTAGTTAATCGATTTCTTAGGGCCCAAGTTAGGTTTAGGGTGGTGGATTTCGTGCCTATATAAGGCCCTCAACCTCATATGAGTCCGATGGAGCTTTACAAAGAAAAATCCCAGCATAAAGGCTTTGAAGGGTGCAGCCCGTGCTGCAGCCCTGTCTGCACGGCAGGTGTGGCAACAGAACAGGTTTCTTCTACCAGGCCATAAAGAAGATCGGCGTTTCGGGAGAAGTGCTTAAAAGATCTCGGGAGAGGTCGATCCGCCGTTTGAAGGAAGTTCAACATTGGAGGAAGTCCAAGAGTGCGGAGGAGGAATTGCTTTGATTATCAACAAGTTCGAGTCGTGTGCAAGAACGGCGTATCACATAAAGAAGGAGTCTTTAGTGTTTTATTAAGTCCTATTAATGTACACTTAAATCTGAACTAGTTTTGCAAGTCCTCGTGGATGTAGGGTACATTTGTATCCGAACCACATTAAATTGTTGTGTTCTTTATTCTGCTTTTCGTAGATTTATTACTGTGACAACACAACAATTCTGTTACGTCACCTAATGTCGTAACATGTAGTCTGTCTCAACAGATGAGTGGATTTCCATAGGCATTCAAAATTCAACAATTGGCATCAGAGCGGGTCACTAGATATACTTAGTGTCTGATTTTGGGTTTTGATTTGTTTGCTTTGCTTATTGGATGACGTGTGTTCACAAGGAAGGTTGAGACGGAAGTCTGTCACGGCATTCACCCAATTCCGCTGCGTTGTAACGTGCCCCATGATGGGACACTCTGATAGAAGACCAGACGGGTGAAGAAAAGTGGCATCTGTGTTGCAGGGGGAGTAAATCTCATATGCAGGGGGAGTTCTTGTTAAACATGGATTCTAACCAATCTATGCCAAAGGGGGAGATTGTTGGCACGAGATTTCTACTTGTGAAGATTGAAGAAATCCGCCATACGTGGAAATTAAAGATTGGCAAAGATTTGTTTTCCATGTTTATTTTGGAATTAATTAGAGTCCTATTTTTGTAATATTGTTATTAGGACTTAGATTTATTTCCATGTATTATATTCTAGTTAGGTATCTTTTGTACTTATCTAGAATAGAAGTAGAAATCGACTAGGATTCTATTACCTAGTTAATCGATTTCTTAGGGCCCAAGTTAGGTTTAGGGTGGTGGATTTCGTGCCTATATAAGGCCCTCAACCTCATATGAGTCCGATGGAGCTTTACAAAGAAAAATCCCAGCATAAAGGCTTTGAAGGGTGCAGCCCGTGCTGCAGCCCTGTCTGCACGGCAGGTGTGGCAACAGAACAGGTTTCTTCTACCAGGCCATAAAGAAGATCGGCGTTTCGGGAGAAGTGCTTAAAAGATCTCGGGAGAGGTCGATCCGCCGTTTGAAGGAAGTTCAACATTGGAGGAAGTCCAAGAGTGCGGAGGAGGAATTGCTTTGATTATCAACAAGTTCGAGTCGTGTGCAAGAACGGCGTATCACATAAAGAAGGAGTCTTTAGTGTTTTATTAAGTCCTATTAATGTACACTTAAATCTGAACTAGTTTTGCAAGTCCTCGTGGATGTAGGGTACATTTGTATCCGAACCACATTAAATTGTTGTGTTCTTTATTCTGCTTTTCGTAGATTTATTACTGTGACAACACAACAATTCTGTTACGTCACCTAATGTCGTAACATGTAGTCTGTCTCAACAGATGAGTGGATTTCCATAGGCATTCAAAATTCAACAACTTGAACGAACCTCGTAAACGCACTCCCCATCGGCTTTTGGTACCGATACTTTCTCCGGCCAGCAACAAAGATAAAGATCGAAGCAAATGTGGCCCCCGCCGGAATCCCGAACCCCCAACCCCACCCGAACTCCACTTGTACATACACTAGAAGCGTAATACCGAACATAGCCCCCATGTTTATGGCGAAGTAGAACCAATTGAAAAACGAGTATTTTTTTTGGGCCTCGATGGGGTCGGATTCGTCGAATTGGTCCGCCCCGAATGAGGAGACGCATGGCTTTATGCCGCCCGTGCCGAGGGCTATAAGCGTCATTGCGCAGTAGAGGAAGCTTGTTTGGGATGTTGATGCTTGGATGCAGGGCTTCGTTGTGCATTGAGGTGGCCGTAAGGTGTCGATGGATCCGGAAAGTGTTAGCAACACCATTCCCTGGATTTATATAACATGTGAGAGAGAGAGAGAGAGAGAGAGAGAGAGGGAATCGGAAATTTTTCGATTTTTTATGCCTGAAAAACTAACTCTAATTCCATTTCAAAAAAAATCGAAATCTCGAAAATTGGAATAAAAATTTGTTCCAAAGTCGGAATTGGACCAGGGATTCGATATTGGCGGAATTCAGAAATTTTTCAGTTTTGTAGTCCTGTAATATATAATACACAATAATATTGATACTATAAGTGTAATTTTTGGGGGAAGGAAGTCGGATTTTCCGAAAATTGAAATTGGATCGTAAATCGAATCTCATATATATTCTCTGATTCCAATCCCAAAAAAATTGAAAAAATTGGAAATCTGAATTTTGGAATTCAGAATGAAAAAATTATTCCAACATCGAAAATTTTCCGACCAGAAATAAAAATTTCCGCTCAATTTCAACCCCTATATATACCTCATGCATGTCAAATTATATATATATATATCATGAGCTGTTGAATTACCACTGCATATATGCAAGAGAAAGTGATAATAGTTGAGAAACGGCCCAAATAGGCGTCGGCAACAAATGCTCCGAGCAGAGTCAAAACATAGGCGGCACCGCTCCAATTGGTCACGTGAGTGGCGGCCTCCGGTAGCGGCTGGTGCATTTCCCCCACCAGATAAGCCACCATGTTTACCGCTATCGAAAAGAATGCAAACCTCTCCACCACCTCATTCACTAACAAATTATAAAATTAATTATAATAATTAATTTTATTAAGTGAAGTTCATCTGGTGTAGCATGGAATAAACCGAAAGAAACGGTACGTATACCTATGATGTAAGGGGAGGCTTTCCATCCTCCGGTTTCTCGTTTTTCTGCGATTCGCCCTTTATAATCGATAGAACCATTGGACACTAAATTTGATGCTAGTTTCATTTCGTCCTATACAAAATCGATTTACAGACGAATTAGTATTAAAAAAAAAAATCGGTAATGCAATGCAAATAATGGCTCAAAAAATTATTATTAGTTGAAGATGTGCTATACTTACCTTCATTTGCTTGTTTGAAGTGAAATTCTCAGGAAACTGTATGTATTAGAACTAATAGTTGCTAAGCTATGAGAATTAAGCAATTAATTGCTTTGCAATTAGCCTAAGTAACTTAATTGCTTTAGTTAAGCAACTTGAGAAGCCAATAAATAAAGATGCTACTATTGCTAAATATTGTATTGTGATGAATATGGGTACTATATATACATTTTTATATTTTGTATTTCCTCAATTTCAACTGTCACTTTAGAGAAATACTTTTGTGTCATATTATCTGTCAATTTGAATTTGAAATTTCAGCACTGTATTAAAGATATTTTTTCCTGTTTTACCCATATTTATTTTTATTTTTTTGAAAAAACCCATATTTATTCAATTCTAAATATTAATTGTGTCTTATCACATCATTAAACGATTAAGATTATTTTAATATTTTTAATATATCCTAAAACTTTGATACATTTATTGAGATTTTTAATTTTTGTGTAACAATTATTTAGAAAAGGAGAGAGTGTCTGTGTGTAACTGATAATTGAATAATTGAGTTTGTTGGCAAATTGGCATAAGTCATAAATTATTGGTTGTAATTGTGAAGAAATTTATGTAACTGTTAACCAATATGTTGTTCAAATACAACTGTAGTATTTATGAAAAGAGTTGACCATGGTGAAGTGTTGTGGACCATGCACTGCACTAGTTGCTGACTTTGCATTTAAAGAAAGTTTGGCTAATTTTTGAAACATTTAATTTACTTTATAAGTTCATATATATTTAATATTATTTTAAATTTAATTTTAAAACTACTGAATAAAACTATGAAGATAATAGGTGCAATATCAAGATCGTGACGTGGAATAAAAATCTAGAACTGTACTATGAGAACATATTCGAAATATTAAGATGTTTAAAAAATCCAAAAAATTGAGGCTTCCGAATTTAGAACTGATTTTTTCTATTTCTGAATATTTTTGGATGAATGACAAATTTTATTGTTCTATTTCCAATTTCACTTTTTTTTTCCGGATGAATGGCATATTTGTAACATATATTTAAGTGTAAATCAATATATCTTTTTTTTTTCTTTAATTTGAATTCTAAGAAGAAGAAAAAAGGAAGGGAAAATAAATTTAAGATCGAAAAAACCTTCCTTAATTATTTGCATAATTACGAGCACCTCTTAAATTAACGGGCTGAGAAAACCCCTAATAGATCGTAATAATTGTCTAATATACCCATGTGTTAAAATAATTTAATGAAAGAGGAAAAAATGGTCTTATATTCAATTATTTTCTTATATTTGGCCCCCTCATACAATGTAAAAACCTTACACAATACGGCTAGGTAATATTAAGAAAATTAAAAAAAATAAACTATTTAACAATATTCTGGTCATTACAAAATGGATATTCCATGGAATCTATTTGATTACATTATTATGAACTATGTAAGCATAAATTCATTAGACGGATAAATTAAGAAAATTAAAAAAATAAACTATTTAACAATATTCTGGTCATTACAAAATGGATATTCCATGGAATCTATTTGATTACATTATTGTTAACTATGTAAGCATAAATTCATTAGACGTATAAATTCATTAGACGGAGAATAACTCAAGGTGGTGCTCGTAATTATGCAAACATGAGAGTTTTTTTCATAATTAGGTCTTACAAGTGGCTAACGAACGAGCTAACCAGAGTCGATCGGACAGAGACACCATGGCTAATCGTAGTTATGCATTGTCCGATGTATAGCAGTTACGTTCATCACTATATGGAAGGAGAAACCATGCGAGTTATGTACGAACAGTGGTTCGTCGAGTACAAAGTCGATGTAGTATTTGCTGGTCACGTCCATGCATACGAACGATCTGTAAGTATATATATTCTTGCGTTTAGTACTCCCCTGTGTTATACTGAATTGCTAAAAAAACTCCCCGTGTTATGAATATTTGCAGAAACACCCCTATGGTGCAATTTTTTTAGCACATAAATGGTGTTTTTTTTGGATAGTTTGCTAATAAAATTGGATCATAAGGGGGCGTTTATGCTAATATTATATATAAGGGATTATTACAGTTTTGGTCACTCAAGTATGCACGTTTTTCATTTTTGGTCCCCACCGTCAACAAAATACACACTCATATTGTCACATTTTAACACATTGAGTCCCTCCGTCTGTTTGACCGTCAAGAAGTAACGGTCAAAAGTTGAATTAGGGGTTTTTCTTTGAGAAACTTGCTATAAGTTCCTGTATTCTTTCAAAATATTCTAAAAACCCCTAAAATTTTATCAAACCATAATTTAACCCCAATTTCAGGAACGGATATCGAACATAGCATACGATGTGGTGAATGGGTTGTGCACACCTGTCAGAAATGAATCTGCTCCGGTTTACATCACTATTGGAGATGGAGGAAATCAAGAGGGCCTAGTCACGGAGTACGTTTTTTTTTTGGGACAAAAAAAGTTGCTACTTTAATTATTTCCATAAATTTGATCGGAAATTATGTTTTTGCCCTTAGGATGACGGAGCCGCAGCCGAGTTATTCTGCTTATCGAGAAGCGAGTTACGGCCACGGCATTTTTGATATTAAAAACAGGACGCATGCCTACTTCGGTTGGCATCGTAATCAAGATGTATTTGCTGTTGAAGCTGACTCTATGTGGTTTCGAAATAGGTACTGGAAATCCTTGCAAGAGTTAAGAACACAAAATTATATAAACATGTGAAGATTGTGTGTGTTATTGCAATTAGTCACACTTGCTTTGAGATATGATTTTCGTTTACCACCAATGTTATGCTTATGTATTTTATTCTATAATTTTACATATAATACATATCGATAGTTTTTTTCTCCTTAATCTATATAATATAGGGTAAATTACAACCATCCCTGAGGTACTGTTAAATTACGAAAAAAAATCCCACTTCTTATGGTGTCAAATTCAACATAATCATCTAGATTCCGTGGAATTTTCTCTAGTTTGTACTCGTTTTGCGCAAAAATACAGTTTCTAATGCACCACAATGTGATATATACAAGTCAAAAAACACATCTTATGATCATCTTGCTTCAAAATGTGGAGCTAGTTCGAACGGGATAAAATGGATACGTTGAGAATATTTAATATAATCTATAATATTCCACTAAATTTGAAACCGCAATTGGGTGGACTTGTGAAAAGATTTATATTTGAGAGGTGATTGTAATTACCCAAATAGAAGGGAGATTTTTCGTAATTTGACCATACCTCAGGGTATAGTTGTAATTTACCCTATAATATATAAAAGTTGAATTTCACCCTTCAAATAATTGACATTGACAATTCCATTTGGTAACATGTCTCCAATTGGAAATAAACTATAAAAAAAAACAGTCATCCTTAAGTTATTTACATGCTATCATTGATTTAATTCCATATAATTATAATCATGGCATCCATCATTTTTGTGTACAAATAGAAAAGTCATTTCAATTTTTTTTCGTAATTTATATATCTATATAATATATAAAAGTTGAATTTCACCCTTAATTGATTGACATTTGACAATTTCTTTAATACTAAATCTCGGCTAGTACGATCATGATCTATTATATTTATATTATAATTGTTAGTCTTTTTAAATGCAAATGCAATTAGATTAGCTAGGAAAAAAAGTGTTACAAGAATTTGAACACACAAAATTCGAAAAGTGTTAGGTTCACAATCTCTAGTAGATGGATCATTCATTCCGACCCTTGTGTTCTTTTTTAGTGTTGCATATTCTAAGTATATATATAAAGCAAAAAAATTGCAACTCTAAGAAAAAAAAAATCATTTTCAACAATTTATAAATATATTGCACTGTAGCCCAATGATGTGTACTACAATTGTGCCCCACGTGTGTTGATTTATGTCAGATTTGTCCATGGATAATATTGGAACTTTTACAAGATATTCTTCAGAATAAAAAAAAAGATTAAGTTATGAGCAGTAAGATCATAACATTTACTTCTGAATAGCTGAATGATTTTTTTATTTTCTTGATATATTTTGTTATCAAATAACTTAGTACCAAAATAATTGAAGGATTTTTTTTTTCTTTTTGTTTTTTGTAAAAAAATCTTTTGTGAAGAAAAATAATTCAATTTGTTAATCATATGTATTTTTGTTTTTTTCATTTTGTAGTTCCTTCAGGAAAAATATGGGGTTTAGAATTTTGGTCGACTGTAAAGGGTTTCTATTCAATAGACAATAAGGACCTCAAGATACTAACTTACTGATCTGAGGTGCTTGATAGATGGAGGCGTGACTGTTTTGTCTTTCTTTAGTGGGATTGGTGGAGTTGAAATCGCTCTGCACCGACTTGGCATTCATTTGAAGTGTGTGGTTCCGATGGAGCCTTGTAAAGTAAAACACAGAATTAAGAAGAATTGAGTGGAGAGTTGATTCAGATGGGGCGTTAACAAGTGATCCAATCATGTTTGATGATCCGGTTTAATCTAGCTAAAGCAATGGTCAATAAACTCGAAAAAAAAAAGTATAATTTATTAAATAAACTATAGTTTCATCTAGAGTTGAACAAATAAAACAAGCAGCTATGAACCATCCCGAGTTTTGAAACAAAGGTATTGTTTTTTATTTAGAACTGAATAGTTTTGGTTCACGTCTAGTTTTCATTTTAAAAATCGAGCCGTTATGCCTAACCGAATAAAAATTTAGTAAAATGACTATGTTTTACTATTTCTATATCAACATTGTTCCATTTATTCTTCATTCACTTTGGCCAACCACGATTCACCAAACCTTCCATAGCCTTTAATTCCAATGTACCACTAGTTAATTATCTTATAACTTGTAAATATTTATGTTTTGAATTCTGACAAAATAGTTTATATACATTTACACTATATTTTAATATATTAGACAATCTCTTATATCATATTTAAGCAACCATTTTCTAACACATTTTAATTTGATATGTATCTTAATCACAAACATTGGACATTGAAACTGAATATTTATGTAAATCGAATTTGTAAATCGAAAAAACTCGAATACGAACCACAAAATAAGAAATCGAATATGACCAAACTGTCATGAAATCAACGTGTTGGTTCTTTGTCATTAAAGAACGAATTGTTTGGTCCACGGTCAGTTTCAGTAAAAATCTTGTAGAAACGAACCGTTCACAACCAAAACTTTTATCTTATAATTCAACCAATAGGTAATGTCTAATTTTTATAGCATTTGTAGTTGATACGGACCAAATTGTCCTCATGGGGTTTCCTAATCAATTATTGGGCCGTGGATTAAGTTTTCATTTGTATTTGGCCCAAAGCCATCTCAGGCCCAAGAAGAGGAGTTAGAGCAAGTTTGCTTATCTCTTGCCCATCAAGTATCCTCACCTATAAATAGGGAGTTACTCTCAACTTATCACTTCTATGCTCTCTCTTACATGTCACAGTCGATTATTCTCTGAATAAAGACTGACTTGATCGTCGGAGCTTCTACGCCGGGAAACCCCGGCGTTGCAGGTACCCCTCCGGCGGAATCCCGACAAGCTATCATCCAAAATATCTCCCAAGCAAGTGAAACAAATATAACCTGCTTAACGGCGCAAACTATATTTAACCATATTTATATAATAAAAAAAATTACAATAATCAGAAAAACAACCAATTTATAAAAAAAGAAATATGCAATATCCGCTCTAGAGCAAGAAACATTCAAAAAAATAGTTTCATTATCTAGAGCACGAAACATAAAAAATAAAAAAAATTAACAATATTTCGTGTTCCACAGCATAAAAAAATTAATGTCTATTTTCGTGCTCTGCACTCTACTATTTATTTATAATATGTAGATATCATTATTATCTATATTATCTTTGAAAGAATTAAAAATTTTACAATTTATGATTTGAATTTTTGATAAATCATATTGAGATTAGATTTACTACTTAACAACCATGGCCAGAATGACACTTCCATAATTACTACGATCACCAGTTGACTACTATTTTGGTATAGTACACATAAGGGGGAAAATAGAATCATAATAATAAATGAATTATAAAATCTCAATTTCAAACATATGACAATAGCAAAATTATTAAAATCAAATATTTGGGCAATTAATCGATGTAGTTAACAACTCCATACATGTATAATTTATAAAGTAATGCTATCAATAGTGGAACTATATAGAGACAAGGAGTAGAATCAAAGTAAATTCTTTTAATACGTGGTTTAATAGTATGTCATATGGGAAGAAAGTGTCGGTAGAAATGTATTAATCAAATTAATTACTTATAATTAAATTATCACATCTTTTTAATTGATTCTTATATAAAATACGTGTGAACCAACTACGAATTGGTTGGTTGGACGGACTCGGCACTACGAATTGGTTGGTTGGACGGACTCGGCGATGAGAACCGTCTAAGGAATAGCCGGTTCCCATAGCGGGTTGGAACCGCGACCCGGCGGGTCAAACGACCGAGCTGTTCTCGACCCGGGTATGTCTATGTCTAGTTGACCAATAGGCCTTTTTTATATTAAAAAAATATATAATAATGATTAATGAATAAATCAATAAAGAAATGAAATAAGCACATGACAACACATGTAGTAAAACTATTTAAAATTAAACATGTGGGCGATGACTCAATATAAGCACAACTCCATACAACTCCATACAATATACGTATATATAGCAAATATAATATGCTATATAATTGGAACTATACAAAAGACTGCACTTATATAATACCATCACCTATACATACATACACCTATATCCACAATATATATATATATACATACATCTATATATATATATATATATAATTAATTTAATCAATCATATACACACGTACGTCACGACCCCTATACATATATATATATCTGAAATCATGGATACGACGACGTATGTACGTATAGTAAATAGCCCGTACAGATCTTCTCAGCCCGAACCCGGACCCGGATCCGTACCCGGCGTCACTTTATTTCTGCATGCAGATGATTAATAATATATAATATTAATAAAATAATAATATTAAAATGATCAATAGAGCCATGTGAAAGGGAGGCCATTGCCATCTTTGCCGCAGTGCTCTTGCTCGTGCACCATTTGGAATGACGTGTCCTTCGCCGCCTCCGCCCACAAATGGGAATCGTCCACGTCAGGCAAGCTTACGTTCAGTTTCTTCAGTATCCCACTCGCGCTCACGTACTCGCCTCCGCCGCCGCCGCCGTTGTTGAAATTTGCAGTTCCAGAAGTAAGATTCGTATTCGGATTGTAATTATAATTATAATTATAATTATAACATTCTTGATTTTCCACCTTGGCTGGGGCGGCGGCTTGAGCAAGTGCTGGGGTCTGATTATTGGCGGCGGCGGTGGCGGCGGCGGTGTCGCAGAGGTGGGGTAAGTTGACCTTGGCGTCGGGGCCGTAAAGTTTCCGGGCGGCGGCGTCGTAGGCCACGGCGGCTTCGTGGGAGGTGTCGAAGGTGCCGAGCCAGACGCGGGAGCCGCGATTGGGCTCACGTATCTCGGCCACCCATTTGCCCCACGTGCGCTGCCGCACGCCCTTGTAAGTGCAGGCGGCGTTCTCCGGGCCGCCCTTGCCCCGCATGCACCCCTTCCTGGAGCTCGCCTGAGCTAGCTTCCTCACCTTCTTCTCCTCCGCCGGAGCCGCCGCCGCCGCCGCCATGGATTTCAACATTTTTTTTTCTGAAATTATATTCTTTTTGCTCTTTTGAGATCAGTGTAGTGTGTCTGTATATATATAAAATATGATTTCTTTTGATCGGAGATATAAAAGTATTGCAAGAGAAAGTCAGTATTTATAGAGAGAAGAAACATAAGGGAGTAACACGTGTCCCCGGCTGAGGAGTGTCCATTGATACTTGGCAAAGACAATCAAGATCATAGTTTTTATCTGTTTTTCTTTTTTTTCTTTTTCTTTTGTCCTTTTTTTTTCCAATATATTTATATTATATAATATATATCATCAAATATGCAATGGCTAAGCATGAAATTTGTACACAAGCTCAGGTGGCAATATGAGGGGGGGCTAAGATTACACCTCATAAATTTTATATTATATATTACTAAAGGCAAATACTAAAATGTGACTAATTTTAATTTGGAATTTTGACTTTTTGCCTTTTGAATAGCTTGAAGTCAACTTTATTTGAAGCGAAACGGTCCAGTAATCAAAATTTCTCGTCTTTCGAATTAGTACGAACGCATTTCCGGCAACGGGACACAAATTTTTTTATTATTCAAATTAATTCGTAGAATTTATTTATTTATTTGTAATTTTCCTTCAAATTTGGAATTAAATCATCAGCAATTACGTCATTATGTTTTTCTTTTCTTTTTGAATTTTTTTTTTATTATTATATTTTTTTTTAATTATATGGGTAGATAAGATTTGATGGTAGAAGAGTTGTATAGTGATAGTTCACTAGGTTAGTGGAAGAGGGCGAGTTCCAAAGAAATTGGTACATACGTACCTAAGTGTGAACAAATAAATATTTAAGGTTTGTTTGTGTGTGTACTAAATGACACCTCTTTGCTAACGTGCGCTCTTGTGTGTCTCTTTATGGTATGTGGGATGAACCGAAAGTTAGTTGAATATATTACTGAAATATGCATTCAATTCATAGCTATACTGTGACATCAATTCCTTTGAATTTCATATATATTTACAAAAATCCCCTTCCCCCATGAGATATGGATCACAATATAATATTAACTCACGTGCAGATTTTATTTCTTTATTTTTTATTTTTTTTAATTATTAAGGTAAATTACGGACACCTCCAGAAGTTTAAATTATGAAGGGAAAAAATCCCATCTTGCTTGGGTAATTACAATTTACAACCACCATCAAGTATGAATTTTCTTACATGTCCACCCTTGCGGTGCCAAATTTAGTAAAATCTTTTAAATTATGTGGAATATTCTCCAGTTTGTACTCGTTTTATCCCATTCGAGCTCCACAATTTGAAACAAGATTGTCATAAAATGTGTCTCTTAATTTGTAAATATCAGGTTGTGGCTCATAAAAAACTGTATTTTTGTCCAAAACGAGTACAAACAAGAGAGAACAGAACAATCAACGGAATCTAGAAGATTATGTTCAATTTGACATCGGATGTGTAAGAAAATTCATAGTTGAGGAGGGTGGCTGTAATCACCTCAAACACTAGAAAATTTTCGTAATTTGATCATATCTCATGGAGTGGTCGTAATTTACCATTTCTATTAAAAAGAAAATCAAAAGACAGGGATAATTGTTAACATTTTTTAAAGGAAAAGAAGTGTGGCATGATTCTTGTGAGTCCGAGCAAAATGATGAGATACTGTCTGCTCTGGCTTTGTCGAAAAATCCCTTTTTTTCTGCTGTAAGATTACCAGATTTCAACATTAAGTCCAGGTTCAATGTTTTTTTTCTTTTTTTTTTTTTTTTAAATTTGGTTATTATTCCCAAGAACCAAAGAGATCAAATCCAATTTCTTTTTGGTCACCATGGATTTTAATTGAGCTTGGCATGAATTAAGAGAGAGAGAGAGAGAGAGAGAGAGAGAGAGAGAGAGAGAGAGAGAGAGAGAGAGAGAGAGATCATTACAAAAACATATTTCCGACAGTCACAATAAAGTCCTAACGATTTATGTTCCTTTCTAAAATCTACAAATTTAATATGAGAATAAAAAAAATGGAAAAGTATATAGAAGAGAAGTCTCACTTGATCACCATTACTTACGCAACAATGGCTGATTTTCTGTTATAACAGTTGATAGTATTAATCATGGTTAAGAACCCGATTCCCGTGTTTTTTAAGGCTCGCGCGATTACCCAGAAAGTTCGTGCGATCCAATACCATCTCGACAACTCAGCAAAGCTGCCCTTATCTCCTTCAACATTTCATTGATCCTTATACCTTTCCTACAAAACCAACACAAACAATGCTTAAACTATTGACCCTCCAGTGTTAAACATAGGTAGGGGTGGAAATTGAAACGGAAATTTCGATCCGAAATTTTCTGATTCTGGAACAATACTTTTCGCTCCGAATTCCGAAATTTCTGATTCCGATTTTTTCTTGGATAGGAGTTGAATACATATGAGTATCCCATTTCCGATCCGATTTCGATTCCCAAAAATAATTAAGAAAATTCCTTTTTTTTTTCTCCTTATAATATCAATATGATTACACATTTTATATTTTAGGTGAAAAATTAGAATTTTCCGAATTCCGCCGATTCCGATTCGAAAATTTCATTTTGGAATTCCGATTTTTCCTAGAAAGGAATTGGAATTGGAATTGGATTAACACTTCCGAAAAAATTCAATTTTTTTCTTCCGAAAGTGCTAATTCCAGTTCGATCCTTCCGATTTCCACCCCTATTCCAAGGAAAATACTCGATCGAAGTTTCGACTATTGTTTGATACGTTAGCTTTAAAAAAATATATAAAAAAACTTACAGGACACTAACACCCACGACAGCAAAAGGGCGTGGATATTCTTCAATTTCCTTAACCTTCTTTTCCCCTTCCGGAACATCGGTTTGGTCCCCATCTATTACCAAGGGCAAAGATGTCTTATCAATTCCAATCCTCGATATTTCTTCGGTTAAATTCGGAAGCCTTTCCATTGCCTGCAAGAAGTGATTACCAACACTTATGAAAATAGCACGTATTAATTAAAATGAGAAGAGAAACTCAAAACACAGTACCTTAGGAACATCGATTTTATTTAGAACAACAATGTACGGTCTTTCGAGGTAATCCGGATTGTACATCCTCAATTCCTGCAAAAAAAGTATTTTGTACACACATAGCGGAGGATCAAAACCCGGGCGAGATATTTCAATTAGAAAAAACCTTAAGACATTACATACGCATACATACATCTTTTACTGTCCTGTAGTCGCGCACGGGATCCTCTGCAGCTGCGTCCACAACATGCACCAACAACCTTGTCCTCCTCAAATGCCTTAAAAAGTTGCGACCTAGTCCCTACATATTGAAAACATCGTCTTTTTAAATTTACAGCTCAAAACAAAATTTAAAAATTAAAAAATAAATAAAAAATCATAGAATACCTTTCCGAGGTGAGCACCTTCAATCAGGCCAGGCAAATCGGCTAACGTAGCCTCGGATGAAAATTGGCCAGGGCCTAGGCTCGGATCGCCATTAAGGCGTCCTAGGTTAGGCATTAGGGTTGTGAACGGATAATCGGCTATATCGGGTTTTGCCATTGTGATAGCTGCTAATAGGGTTGACTTTCCTGCATTCGGGAGCCCCTGAAAATAAAACCCCAAATAAGTATATATACGGTAGAGCTTCAAGACGCTTCTTCGCGTATTAATTCGAGAAATACTTACAACAAGACCAACGTCTGCAACAACTCGTAGTATCAATTGCAGACTCACTTCTTCTCCAGCCTGACCAAACACTAAAGCCTGCAATATATCTCCGAATTAATTGATTAAATTGAAAGAAATTGATCGTATGGTGTTCGAGTATAACGCAACGGTGTAATCGACAGATTCACACGAGTAAATTATATATTTTGATCCATAGATACAAACGGAGCATCCGTAATTTACCTTGTCGCTGTCGTCTCTCATTATGTTAGTGGTTAAAGACATCATTTTTTTCTTCTGATGCTCCTGCATTTCCAACAAGCTAATCTGCCGGAAAAAAAAAATTAAAATATTACGAAAAAAAATATAACAAATGTAAAAATATTTGCATATATTAAAAAATGAAGACGATTTTACCCCTCCTTGTCCACCCCTTGCGACAACAACTTCATCACCATGCCGAGCTAAATCCGCCAGAAGCTTCCCTCTTTTCAGTTTCACAACCGTTCCTACAAAAAAAATCGCGAAAAAAATAAAATCAAGAATTACGGTAATTACAAAAATGACGAGCGATAATATTCACCGTAGATAGTTGTTAAAATGAAAACCTAGAGGAACCGGAATACGAAGCGTGGGAGAAGCGAACCCATTACGCAACTGAGAAGACAAAACACCCATTGCGTCGACATTTCCACCTCGTTTCGCATTGTACCGACTCTGCTGATGAAACTCCAACAAGGTATCTTTGCTCTCGTCCGCGTAAATTACGACATTGCCCCCGTGTCCACCCACAGGAAGGATAAGCGAGCCGTCGAAATCCCTCTTGTACAAACCCTTTCTCCTTTCTTTCTCCTTTTCGATTTTCCCTTTCGGCTTAGAAGAAGGGCCCTTTTGGTTCGGCAAACTGAGAACCGCCCCGTGGCCACCATCTCCTGCTCGAACGGTGATGATTACTTCGTCGAAGTATTTGTGGGATTCTTTGATTAGATTCTCCGGGGTTGGCGATTGCGGCTTCTTGACTTTCGCAAGAACGCAGTTTATTACAACGGGCTTGTAATTTTTTCGTGAAGCCGATTTCCTGTGCGAACTATGAAGAAGAGCTTATAAGCTATAGTTATTACAAAATCAAAATTAGCTAAAATAATACATGATATCATCAACATTGAGTAACAATACATAATTGAAATGGGAGATTAATTTATTAGGTTAAATTGAAATGGAACCCTAACTGAAAAAATTATGTTGCCCACAATTGACATTAGGAATTGCCTAAAACTTCATGTTTCATTCTTACAACTCCAAAATAAAGCTAATTTAAAAAAAAAATTAAAAAAAAATCCATCAAGCTGGTTCTTCATTTAATAAATCGAGATAATTCATATATTTTTCCCTTCGGCATGAATTTTATGTGTCGGAACAAGGAAAGAAAAATAAATAATAAAGGAAAAAAATTGCAAAGCAGGAAATTGAGTGCGTACCCAGTAGGAAGAAAGGATTGAGAAGCGAAAGCAGAGAGGGAAGACGACGACGTTTTATCAGAATGAAAATTGAGCATTGAAGACGAACGCTGCTGAGGAACCCATGACAGCATTGTTTCTCTTCAACACTGTTTTTTTCTGTCGAGAGAGAAACTCACTTAACGGATAGAACACCACACTGGGAAAATCATTTTTAATGTTATATATATATTATTTCAAGTGTATTAATTAATATTTTCTTAATTTCTATAAATAATTAGAAAAAATGGATCTAATTAATACATTTTGAGCTTTAACAAAAATATGTGTAATAAACGAAATTGAAAGAAATACCATGAAAATATCTATACTTGATAAAATTTAATTATTAATTTTTTTATAAAATAGTTTTTATTTTTATGTACATTATTTTGATATTTTCTATTAATAATCCAGATGTCTAAACTTCGTCTAACTAATCCTCACTGCAGATGGCCTTCCACTAGTTCGTTAAATACGAAAATACGAATGCAACCACAGCCTATACATACTCAAAACGAAACTCTTTCATAGTCGAAGCGACCCCGGTGAATCACGAATTTAGCTTCAAGGATAGACATTTGAACTATTTTTTGTGTTATTATGGTGGAAATCCAAACCTATTTCGTATGTAGTCGTACAATACGTTCATAATTTTGCATCTCAATTTAGATGTATTTGCTCAATACATACATGGAAAAGATAGATGATTTGGCTTATGTAATTAATTAGCCAAATTTAAAATATAAAAAGCAATCCAAAAATCCATGAAAAACGAAACCCAAGCGCTTCTCTTCTTTACAACATAAATAGTAAAATTTGCCTCGAGGCAAAAAAAGGATCATCGATAAACACTGCTCCGATTTTGTACCCACAATACAAAAGGACATTAATTACAAATTTTCACTCATAACTTCGACAAAAAAAAAAAAAGTACTATATAAATAAGCCATATATGAATAATCATAAGTGAAGTGGTTTACATTTTTCTCTAATAAATCACCTCAGGACATCTAATCACGTCGATGATTATTCGGAAGATTCCAGAAGAACTAACTCTTGAGGAAATCCGCTAAAGAGAAAGGTTGATGCCCATCCTAGAAAAGATATCCAAGGCGAAACAAAAGAGCAAGTTAGCTCGCATTTTATTAAATAATGTTTAGAGAAATTACGCGATTTGTAGCCATATACACCCGTATAGTAGAAGATATGAAGATCATTTCATAATCATATATATATATGGGGCAAATTTTGGCCAACCCCCGATGTAAAGCTCAAACTACGAAACCCCCCCTCATGTTTGGATTATTACAACCACACCCTCAATTATATATTGTCTTACGAAAAAAAACCCATCATTCAGTGGGTAAATTTAACAACGTAAGGCTGGACATGTAAGACAATACATAGTTGAGGGGTGTGGTTGTAATTTCCCAAACATAAGGGGTTTTTCGTAATTTGAACATACCTCAGGGGGTGGCCGTAATTTGCCCTATATATATGTAGAAAAATAGCAAAAGAAATAGAACTAAGCAAAGAAAAAAAGTACATTGATTACTCCGTAACAGATTAACAGCAAGCTTTTCATTCACACCTTGCTAGATTCTTGACTCAAGTACTGTTTTACGACAGTCGTTTGCTGTATTAGCCTTTCCATTACCGAAAAGCTGGGCAGTTTAGTTTGAGCTGCAATAATTAATAAGTTCACATTGTAAGAAATAAATATTGTTACCGACAAATGACTAAATAATAGGGGTTAGTTACATGTTAGGTCGACAGGATTCAAATTAAATCACGCCAGCAATAAAAGTTAACTCACACAATTAAATGCTATTTATCCAAGAAAATCAGTACCACTACACCCCATGTGATTAATTTTCTATGTAGCGACTAAAAGGAGGAAAAAAGACGGTTTTACCCCTACAATATTACGATATAGTATTTGGTTATTGTTCAATGAGAGACATTAGTGAGGAATCACATTTAGTACCAGATTTTGAGGCCGGTTCTTCCCAACTAACTAAATAATTAGTTACTCGGTATGGAATTGATGCAACGCAATAAAATCTAATCTAAATTAATCCGACCCATGTGACCGAACAAGGACTAAATATATTTCAGTGTAGAAGAAATAAAATAATAAAAATTAAATAAAATCCTCTTTGCTACAATTTTAGGAAACGAGTACCAAGAATTGCTCTGTTTAAACTGTCGGCAACATGTTGTCTGTGTTCTTCACTCAGAAGATGAAACATCGGTGATTTCTCCGGTTCCTCGTAAGCAAGAAGAGCCATGAAATCCTGCATGGATAACATTTTATCCGTTATTGATATTTATAAAAAACCATTACGCTAAAAAAGGAGTAACAAGAAATGTATCAATAATTTAGAAAGAGAACATACTTCGAGTTTCTCGACATATTTCTGCTCTTTCCCAAAAGGGGTAAACTTCAATTGGGCAAACCCTAGAGCTTCGTCACTGCCATACGAGTTAAAGTTTCAGTAAACAATTCATCACTGTGAATGTATAAATAAAAACCGAATCACTTACATTTTTCTAGAGCACACGAGTTCGACGAAATTAAGGCTCAGAAGATCGAAATGCAAATCTTTATTCTCTTCCAATAAGCCAGGTACAAATTCTTCAGTTAACTCAATGGCTTTCGATGCATTTCCGTCCAATGCAAAATTGAATATCCCTGAAAATTAAATGTCAAGTCAGTGCCAGAGTTACTACTGTTGTTCGATAATTGTTCCAACTTCCACAAGCAAATTATAGAAAAAATCGACAGTTGCTTATTAACATGATAGAGTTGATTATTATTCAAAAGCTGATTTTACTTGGAGGAAATTTCAAGCCGAAGAATTGCAGAGTCAAAAGAATACAGATTATCGAGCTTGAATGTTAATGTATGTTATTTTCGCGTAAGATAATCAAGAACATGCTTATTAGTTATTCTTGACTGATTTATCGAATATCCTCACTATATTTACTGCAAAAACACGGCTTAGAAGCCAACATAGATGATAAATGGTGAAATCAAACATTAGGTATGCAGTACAGTAATACAAAACCATTCGATCAATCGTGTGTCTTTCGTCGTATATTACTTTCTAGAATAATTCCTATTAAGTGCTTAAAATGAGAAAATCAACGAGGAATCCAATTAGCTATCCTTACATTCGGCATGTCTAATTAGGTAGTTTGACATGCAGCTACTACATTTCTCCGCTATAATATTTGTACGTCAAAATTGTGAAAACTAGGAAAACTACATTACTTATGAGATTCTTTTACCTAAATCAACGAGATTTCACGAATACATTTTCCTCAGCCTCATTCTTATATAGTACACAAATTTAAATTATTTAGTTTCCTGTTTTTTTTTTGTTCGTTGCTCGTACATTTTACTAATCCAAAAAACCACGTCAAACAAATTACGGGTAGTAGACCTAGAATTAAAAGGAGAGACTCCCTTACTTTTCCGTTTATCCATGCCCTCCAAATGATCGATAGGCTGCTTCACCCTGGTACAAGCAACAAACGACTCCAACGTGTCTTTGAAGCAATTATGCACAAGATACGATACAACAATCTTGTGTATATCGCTCTCGTTTACCGCCTGCATAAAAAACAAATAGCAACTTGCTCAATGATCATCTCGAAAAAGGACTAGTATAAATAGTGACAATCGGAATCGAGCTTTTCAAGTAGCAATAGCACCCACAACAAAAGATTAATGAATAACCCATAACCCATTCAATCCAAATTAGGGTTTGCATATCAAGATACAGTATTTCAATGGAACAACACCAAGCATTTATCAAATGAAAATTGAAAATCAAAATGGGCCATGAAGAAAGTAATATAACACACACAAAATTCGACACCACGTGCGAATAAGAAACCCTAAAGAGTGCCTTACAATGTTCTCGTACTGCTTCGGATCAGCATCCATATTTTTTTTCCCCAGTTCTTAAATTTTCGTCGATTAAAAGTCAAAAACAGCAAAATTTACACAGTTGAGAATTAATACAGAAATTAATTGTCATACGATAACGTATCTGTGTGGGTGTTTGTGCACAAGTGTGAAAATTGATAATATAGAACTGCTGCCATTGTCCGGAAGCAGAGAAGGGGAAGGGGTGCGGTCGGGGGGTAAAAGGGGAATTTTAGAGAGAGAAACTGCTTTTTATAGGCTGGTGCGGTTTCTGGTTTCCGGTTTCCGGTTTCTGGTTTCCGGTTTCCGGTTTACATGATCCGGTTATTGCTGTTTATTGGACAACCGCGACTTTTAGTTTACAAGGAAGACTGCTCTCCATGGTTCAAAAGTGTTTTATCGAATTAGATAATTTTGATAAAAAAAAAATATACCATTGTTAATAAATTATAATATTATTGTATTTTTTTTTAATTAATTAGTAAATGATAATATGACATGATGAAGTTGAAATAGACAATTTAAGTGTAGTTCCAAATTATTTTATTTATTGTATTCACTTTTGTGTACTTCCATATATATTTTCCAAATATGTTTATGTTTTGAGTCACTTGATTTCTTCTTAAATAATGTTAAAAAAATTATTTTTTTTTTCATATTTTAAGATTAAAATTTTCTTAAATGTTTAACAAAGTATTGATGTGGGGCAGTTCCCAATGATGTGCTAAATTTAGAATTTGGGCTCTAATTCACCTATTGGATCGATCTATATACTTCGTCGAGCTGAATTGTACGTGTCAAAAATATTTGATTAGCTTCATGCGTTATTATGACTAGGGCCAAGTGCAAAGATAGATAAATCGAGATGAGAGTTCAGTCTAGTTTAAAAATGGGAAGTACAAGGGAAAAAAAACTGACGATTTGTGGAGATAAATTAAGATTCATATGCTAAAATAGGTAGGTAATATCTAACGTAAATCGAAAGTTTGAATTGGAAAGAGTAGTCGTCATTCTTTATTAACTTGATCGTCAAAGAGTTTTCCGTTGGCTCGATATATTTCAGCAATGCAGAAGACGTGCTTTAGAAGGAGACTTGGACCAACTATTCCTACTATTAGAAAAAAAAAATTCCTATATCTTATCCACTTTTATTTTTTGTTATTATGATAATAAATTTCAATATATAAGAACCCCGTATTTAAAAAAAAAAAAAAAAAAAAAAAAAAAACCTTTACTTCAAAATTAAAATTGTGTAATTCGTGAATAAAAGTGAACAAAGTTTCAAATTCTCACGTCTTCTTCACCTTTCAAATAATTCGAATATATCTTTATTATTATTATTCTAGATATAAATTGTCCGAAAAGGAAAACCAAAATCAGCACAATGAACGTGGTCGTAATCGCATCCCTATGCGGTTAATTTATGAGCGTTAATTACGATTAATTCATAGTAATAATAATATCAATACAACTTCCGCCGACAACCCAGATTTTCACGAATTTATTTTCCACGTGTGATAAATAAACAAAAAAAAAATAGGTCGGCCAAAACTTTTCTCAGATTCTCCACCAGCCACGTGTATATTTCCAGTCCCCCCGATTTCTTCTTCGGTCAATCCACACCGTTGAAACAAAAAAAAAGCCTACAATAAATATGTCAACGGCATCTAGCTGACGTCAGCATTTCCATTTGACCATTTCTTAAATTTGTCAAATTTAGAATTACATTACTAATTACCGAAACATCAATAATTATTAATTATACTACCAAATTGCATATTACAGGAAATATATGACGTCATTACTTACCATCGGCGAGGGCACGCCCGTAATTTACGTCAGAGCAACGTGACATTTTGGTCAATGCGCACCGCTTCATTTGGCCTATATAAACAAACCCCTCTTCATCATTGTTGCTTACAGAAAACGCCAGAAGAAAGAAAATAAAAAATTCGTTAAAAAAAAAAAAAAATTCTCTGTAAAATTGAAAATGGCTTCTTCTTCAGAAGAGGGACAAGTTCTTGGCTGCCATTCCGTCGAGCAGTGGAAGGATCTCTTCCAGAAGGGCGTTGACTCTAAGAAACTCGTCAGTACTCAATTTTTTTTTTATTTTTTTTATTTTCAATTTGTGATGATTAATTAGTTCGTCTTCATATTAATTTTGTTTTTATTTATAGTATTTGGTTCGTGTGTTGGATTATGTTGATTGTGTGCATCTGAATTTTGTATCCTAGGGCTCAGAATTCTTATATGCAGTGTTAGGGTTTGAATGTGTGTGTGTGTGTGTGTTTGTGTGTGTTTTGCTTTCTGTTGACTTTTTTTTTTAATATTGATGATGTTACATATGAATTTAGGATTGAAAATTGAATAGTTGATTAATTATTCCTTCATCTATGGATAATTTAATACTGTTTATGTTCTGGCTGGGTGATTGGATGGACTAATTCACATTGAATTATTTAATTAGCTTGAATATTGAATAAAACCCTCTTTTAGTTTGATATGGAAGCTGTTGTTTATTTCGTTGAGAGAACTTTAGGTTTGATTTATTACGTAAAACTAGGTTTATCGCCCGAGTAACGAAGTAAACTCCATGCCCCGTAGCTAGTCCTATGCAGATTTATTTCTTAGTTACGCCGTATTCGCGTCCCAAATACGTGTGCCGTTCGTACGTAGGGGAATAAAATGAAAAGATTGGATTTTTATGGTTTACGTGGCGAACAAGAAAAAGCCGATTTTTACGGAAAAAAACAAATAAGAATGTTCCTTAATAGTCGCCTCCTCGCTCCAAATGGATTGGCAATTCTTTTGTATATGTATTTCCAGCAGATTTATATAGCCTTTGTTCCGTTTTTCTATTTTTACTTTGTTGCCTTTTATAAATAAGTTTTTAAAGCAAAAACTTGTAATCAGGTGGTGGTAGATTTCACGGCTTCATGGTGTGGACCGTGTCGTTTCATTGCCCCGATCTTGGCCGAAATTGCCAAAAAGACACCACATGCTATTTTCCTCAAGGTCGATGTAGACGAACTCAAGGTAAACCTTATCTATATCTTCGTCTTTATTTAATTTAATTTACTTCCATTACATTTCTATTATTCTTTTTTGTCGTTTATAATTTGCTAATATTTTTACGTCGTGTTTTATTGCAGAGTGTGGCTGAGGAATACCACGTTGAGGCCATGCCGACGTTTCTGTTCTTCAAAGAAGGCAAGGAAGTTGATAAGGTTGTGGGGGCAAAGAAGGAAGATTTACTGGCTAAGATCACTGCACATGCTACTCTTACTGCATGAAGTTTGCTCTAAGATTTAAGTCGTGTCTTCTATTCTGGGCTTGTAATAATAAAAACATAGCTGCTCGATCACAACCTTCTATCTTTACTTTAAAGCCCCTCCTATTGTAATGTATTTTCTCGGTTTTATGTGGATTGCTTTGTTAACGTGACGAAAATAATTTAGTTATTCGACAGTTGTTTCGCTTGATCACAACCTTTTATCTTTACTTTAAAGCCCCTCCTATTGTAATGTATTTTCTCGGTTTTATGTGGATTGCTTTGTTAACGTGACGAAAATAATTTAGTTATTCGACAGTTGTTTCGCATTTACTCTACTGTTTCTTTTTACGTGACGTATTTCTTTCTTTCCAGTTTTGCCCTTCATCTTTGGGTAAAAGGGTATTTTTGGGCTTTTTTTTTCCTATGATACAATAATCCCAGAAATCAAGTACAAAATTTTGTTGTTGGTTTATAAGTATATACAGGACAACTACGTTTTTGTATTAATTCTGGTGTATTATAATTTATAACATCTCAATTCATTGTGGTAGAGCAAATAGCTTCGACCGATAACTTCTTCAATACTCGAGGGCAAGGATCACTTCCAAAGTAGCTGTTAGAAACTGCAATCTTGCAACTTTCTTTCCCAACGCACATCTGCAAAACAGAAAATGCATCTCTCTCGAGGTTATTACGTGTGTGTGTGTGTGTGTGTGTGTGACTATGGATAAAGAATTTTGCCTTTTCGTGTGTGTGTGTGTGTGTGTGTGTGTGTGTGTGACTATGGATAAAGGATTTTGCCTTTTCTATAAGGGCGTTTGAGTTCTGTGAGTGGCAATTTCCGAGCTGAAAACTCCCGCAAGTTCCCTTTGGAGTACCGAAACTAGCAAACTTGATGGCAGATATAGATTGACCGGGCCCACAGCTTAGGTGGACCCTCGCCTGACGAAGCATCTTCTGCGGGGCTGTGCTCTCGGTCTTGTAATTTGCAACCGTTGGATGGTGCTCGAATGCATTTGCACATACTCTAGATGTCGTTCGTTTTACTAGTGCGATCTTTGATGCGTCGCCACCTATTTCTTCGAGTAGTACGATGAAGTTTTGCGTCGGCCTCAACCAAGATCTTGGAACATGGTACCTAAATGCCACGTGGAAAAAAAATTAATATTCATTTCTTTTCATAATAATTTTTTTAAACGTTTGAAGAGTTTATTTATTTATTTTTTATACCATCGCTGAGTTGGTTGACCGCAACCGAGTTGACATTTTGGGGCTCGGTATGTGCCGTTGTAGTGGCAAATATCGCAGTTCCCATTGGCATTAGTCAACCAATATCTTCCGATGCTTTGACCGTTGACCCACACTTGACCTTTGCCCATGCTTGTCATGTCCAAAGCCAAAGGCTCATCCCCATTCGGTGCATCGAAATATGCCTGCAAAAGTTTCGATACTTTGCTAAAGAAACTAAATTACAACATTAATATCGATAATTTGTAAATTTTTATATTTTTTTTAAATTACCTTGTACCATCTCAAAGGCTGTTGATTTTGGGTGATCGCCGACATTTGTGTCCATTCGACGGAGGAATCCTTGTCGGGAGATACCAAATTCATCATCTCGCCTCTCAATCCAACCTATTTATCGAAAAACATGTAATAAACATTGCGGTAATAACATCAAATTACAAGAATAACACTAATTAATTTAGACTAATTTGTTTAAATTCTCACCTTGTAAGACCATGTTTGGCTTGACAAGTCTTTCTTCCCTTGATCTAGCCCGTTCAGCTCGACTAACCCCAATCCCACGGCCCAATTTTCGTAGTGCATTCCATTATTCTTCGTTTTTTTATCAATTAAATTATTTATTATTAGTTATTAATTATTGAAATAACAAATTGAACATATGAGTATAGAACTAACCGGTAGTCCCATGGCTATGCTGAGCAGAGAAATTTTGTTCGTTCCGACTTGTAAATTCACAGGTCCGGTGAATGTAAATCTCGTTTTCGCCCTCGTCCCATAAGCAGATCCTGCAAATTAAAATACAAATTATCTAATAAAATATATATTTTTTCGATTTTTTTTTTTTTTTGTAAAAAAACATAAAATAAATACCTGCAAGCTGACCGTTGATGAAAACATGAACCGCATGGCCTTTAGAGTTAACAGTTAGAATCGGCTTCTGTCCTCCTCGTAGAAATGATTCTGACGAGCTAATGTCGATGCTGGATCGACAATTAAATTTATTCAAACTCGAAGATAAAAATAATAAAAGGAAAAAAAAATTAAATTTGTAGAAAGACTCGTAATTAATTACCTAGTAATGTACCACAAATAATCACTAGTATCCCTCGTGACACTTATCTGCTCCAAAAGTCCGTTTGCCGTAAATGCTGAGCTGTCATCTGACGAAGTCGTATCTTCGTTATACGTCTCCCACGAGTAGAATTGAGAATTAGATGCTAACATTTCAACATGCGAAGTTTGTGCTCCAACCTTAATAATAATTCAAAAAAAACACGAAAAAAAAAATGAGTATTGGGACTTGTATACGTTACGAAAGAAGATCGAGTTGTATGTATGTATAGGTGCGTGTATGTACGCACCTTTGCCGTGTTGAAGACTACATTTCTACAATCGGGAAGAATACTAATTGACCAAGGAGGTAAATTGTAGTGCATTTTATTGAAAATCACTCTCGCAGCAGAATTACTATCGAAGTTTGATAGAAAAGCTGCGCAACTTCCATTTCCAGTGGTGAATACTCGAGCCTAGGAAAAAAAAACGAGTTTTTCGTTTAATAAACATATAATTAAAAAAAAAATTTGAATTGAAGCATTATTGTGCTGAAGAATCTGACCTGCTGAAAGGTTCCTAGTGAAGTTTTTGTGGGGTCCGCTGAGACGAGCGCAGGTTCGCAAAGCTTAATCGCCTTGTGTAGCTCTTTCAAATGACCGTACTTTGGCTCCCTAATTAAACCTGAACAAAAATTTAAATTAAATCGTTGACCGAATTAAAAAAAAGAAAAAAATAAATAAAAATAATATAAATTAGTTTTGCTAACCATATTCATCAATTGGTGCATCATAGTCATAGCTGGTGGTAATAAAAGGACCACCGGCGGTTCGTCCGAAATTAGTGCCTCCGTGAAACTGCTCAATTGTTACATACATTGCAATTATCGAACCAATCTATTTAAGTAAGAAAATAATTTAATATTTCAAAAAAAAGTAAATAAATAAAACGGACCATGTAATAGTTTATATATGAGCCACCGATTTGTATGAAACGAGCAACTGCAAATGCAAGATCCTGAACTGGCCGTTGATGTACTGTGCCTCCAAACTCATTAAACCTGATCAATTTTTCGACCAAAAAATTATTAATAAAATAAAAATAAAACATAAAAATAACTAAAAAAAAATTCGGTGAAGTTTTAAATTTACCAGCCGGTCCAAGCTTCGGTCCACATGGTGGGCTTATAAGGTTTATTAGGAGTAAAGGCGTCGCAGTAAAATCCATTACACGTATTTATCTGTACGTTGCAATAATCAAAGAAGTAAAACATTAGTATTTATCATATTTGAGGTAAAATGTATTGAGACGATTACGTACCAGTGGATCAGGGGCATTATCGTCTTTACACATGATCCACGGAACTCCGGTGTCTAATCCAACGGCCATTTTTGCAGCCCAATTCATGTACGCGTCACCTGCTGCGCCGAGTGCTCGTCTTTGTGATCCGTATTCATTCTCAATCTACCGATCAAGAATCACAACAAAATTTGAATTCTTTATTTTGAAATAAATTCGAGGCTTAAATATTTTAATTTTAATTTTTCGAAAAAATTAAAATGTAAATTACCTGTGATAGTATAATGGGGCCTCCCTGTGATTCAAACAGGTTCTCACTTTTCATCATGCCGACAATTTTCTGCGTAAACCCTTGCATCGCCGCCTAATATTCCCCGTAATTAAATAATTAAATCATTTTTAAATGTAAATAAATTTGCTAATTAACTAATTAAATAGTTAAGGAAAAACCTTGAAGGGCTCATTGTCTGTTCTGAAGCTAATACCAGGTACATATTTCAACCACACAGGAAATCCTCTGCATCACATAAATTAAAATTCAAATTCAAATTAAAAATTAATTATTTTTTTTTCAATTTTACTAAATCAAATATTATTACATCAAAAAAACAAAAATTGAATTACCCATAATTCCATTCAGCACACACATAAGGGCCGATTCGAAGATTAACGAAGAGGCCGACTTTCTGCACCGTCTTAACGAATCTCACTAGATCATATCTACCCTCAAAATTGTACTGCACATGCACAAACAAGCAGTAGAACCTCAATAAATTAATATTCGATAAATTAATAACCTCGCTTAAATAATAGTATTTTCCCTATTCAGTAAAAATCAACTAAATTATTAGTTCGATGATTTAACATTTCACTAAATTAATAAAATTTTACTAATCCCGATTATATTAATTTACAGAAGTTTAACTGTATACACAAGTATTAAATGTAAATTACAAAAGAAAAAAAAAAGTGAAATATGAGTTATTACAGAAATCAAGAGTGAAAAAAATAAAACTGACATTGCCAGGTGAAGGCTCGTGTCCATTCCAAAACACATAAGTGTCAATTACATCTAACCCTCCATTTTTAGCCTTCAAGATCAAATCTTCCCACATCTGCAAATTTCATAATTTTAGAGAGAGAGAGAGAGAGAGAGAGAGAGAGAGAGAGAGAGAGAGTACATCAGGGGTACTTCTGGGATAATGTACGGAGCCGGAGAGAAGAATTCGCCTCTGGCCATTGATGAGAATGGCCTTGTTATCATAAGTGACAGTGCAGTTTCCATTGATTACAAACAAAACCAAGAAAATAAAGAAGAAGAAGATAACTGAACTTGAAACTGAGTTAGTTTCCATTTTTTATTTTTATTTTTAATATTAAATCTGTAAATGAATGTGAAAATGAAATAATGGAGGGGATTTAAATATGGAGGGAAGCGGTGAGATTTGGAAGCGGTGGAGGAACAAACAGATCAGAGTTTACCACTTTTTTTTATATTTATTTTTTGCTGATTCAGTGTTCTATTAAATTAAATGCTCTCACTTCTGCACAAAGTGTGACAGCAGCGATTTTGTTTATTTATTTATTTAATTTTGTTTTTTTAGAGAACTCATAAATATATATAGTAGTGGAATTACAGATATGGAACTGTTGTTTTGAAATGCAAAAAGGAAAATTAAAATTAATAATTAAAAATAGTTTATTGCCTGTGGTATTTAATGAATAAGGAGTTTGAGAGTAACTCATCGTTTGGTTACATTAAATGTTAGTGTAAATTAGGAGGTTTTGAAATGAAGAAAAGAAAAATTGTTCCAAAATTGGATTTGTTTTTTTTTTTTTTTTTTAATTGAAGTCTGCTGAATTCGAATTTTCTGTTTTTAATATAAAATAAAACTGATACTGATATTAATAATTGTTAACTTTTAAGGATTTTTTTGTTTCAGAAAAAAAAATTGGATCGAAAATCGGATATGATGTATTCCAATTTTGCTCCTAAAAAATCGGAATCATCATAAGTCATAACTATCGAATTTGGAGTGTAAAATAATGAAAATAACCAGGAAACAGTAATTTATTTGGTGTAAAAAATAAATCATAATTAATCGACATAAGAAGTGTAACTCAATAGTTGTGCGACTTAATCTCACTTTACCCCCTAGAAATATACTATTTTGCACTTTGCACCCTCGAAAAAAATTAACAGCACTTTACACCCTCGAAACACAATAAAACATGTATAATGCACCCCAGGTGAAAAGTGCTATTATTATTTTTTTCAAGGGTGCAAAGTGGAATTAAGCCATAGTTGTGCAGAAAATTTATTTAATTTGTATGTCAATAGAATATTCACAAAGGCGTTGTTTATTAATCTTGAAATACGGAAAATAAAGTCAAAAGTCAAAATCCGCATTAAAAATAATATTTCAAAATCAAAATTGATAAACTAATAATAAAGCAGATAGTCCATACTGCACCGGTTGCCAGAGTTTCTCTAGTTTCATATCAGATGTAATAACAACAGTTGGCACTTACGTATTAAATTTCATTTATAAATAAACATTTTTATTAAAGTAAATTTTACGTATGAGTAAGTATACATTGGTCAAATGTTTACACGTTCATCTATCGTTTATTTCCACACACAAAGAAGTGCATACCGGTTAAATTGAACTAACAATTCTTCTCGTGCGATGCATGAAATAGCATTGTAAAACGCAGAAAAAATTGAATATATGATAATTAAATTGTATTAAAAAAAATTACATAATATAAAAATAATTAGTTGTAAAATTCAAATTATGTCAAGACAATACAAAATTAAATTAGATAGAGAAAAACAATTAAATGAAGAAATCATATTGGTGTGTGTTAGCTAGATAGATTTGGGCTTCACTCTTATAATTAGTAAATTAAAAAAAAAATCTACATCCATGTGTATGTGTGTGAAAGAGATATACAAACATGTTGCAAAACTTAAATAATAATCATAAAAAATAAAATTGATATGCTAAATTCAACACCAATTTTACCAAATTGTACACATAATTGAAATTTTTTCTCTTTCTAAAATCTCATCTTCTCCTTCCCCACCCTTCTTCCTTTTCCCTAATTTTTTCACAAAATCACACAGTAAAAACGTCCATATCTTTCAAAGTTCGAATTTGACAAAAATCTTCATGTGTTCAAACTAAAATAAAGTTGGAATTTGAGAATTTTTTTCGAATTGATATGAATTTAAATAATTAAAAAGACATAATGAAATTGAAAAATATTAAATAAACCTAAACTCACTTTTTATGATTATTCACGTGAAAGATTAACGAATTTTGAGTGACTTAGAAAAAACCATCATAGAAAAAAATTAGAGACAATATTAGTAAAGAGATATTTTTTCTTTTAATTTATGTGTGGAATTTAGTAAATTTTAGTGTGGGATTTAGCATGCCCCAAAATAAAAATATAAAAACTATTCAAGTGGATCATGATTTTGCTAACAAATTTGCAAATCTAATTTGCCATGAAAGTTATTTAAGGAATAACAATTGCTGATAAATAGGAGAAGTAAATTAATAACAGCAATTAATTTTGTAAAAAATTACAACTATATCATTAGAGTTTCTTAAATTACATATTTCTTACTTTTATATATGAAGATAAGAGTTTTAGTTTTTAGTAAGGTACGTAATTTGTTTTGTTGAAGAAAGATGCCTAACTTGATGTAAGCATCCTGCATCCACAACAACATAAGATTGCAAAATATCATTTCATTCGGAATTGAAAAACTAATTCCAAATTCGTCACGAAAAGTTATCGTAAAATTTGGAAATCAGAAATTCAGTTTTTTTTTGGAATACAAACATTGTTTCCAAAGAAAAATTAGATCGAAAATGGCCAAAAAAAAATCACCAGTCGATTTCCTCCACTAAATAATTAATTAAATTCAAAATCTGAACGCCCCGATATTTTGGGCATTAATTAAACATTTAGACAGTCCCCTCACGAAACTTCTAAATTTTTTGGATATTTATTTACTTTGGTTGATATAATTTTCCATTAATTAAACATTAAACACGTTCAAGGGGAAGCTTCCATGTGCTTCCTACATCTTTGCATAATAAATGTTGTCACAATTAAGATCTTATTACCATGTGTAAGAATATGCTATAAATTTTATTTAAATCATAGTATATAGTTTCTTCCATTACCTATGAGTTAAGAGTCACGTGATGTGTCGTCAAGCAATTTGAAACTATATATGTTGTTTTGATGTACTCTTCACATGCATGCTCCCTTATCTAAATTTAGACCATATGGACTACACTAACAAAAATCAAGAAAATATTAAACTATTCAGCAACGGATCGTCTAGCAGTTGAAAGAAGTGAATCTGTGTTAATTGACCAAAGTTCGAATCCTCTTATCAACAATCGCTAGATGGAATTTGTCACACGTGGTCAATTTAATATATTTTACGTCTTGTATGGTTTACATATTGTTTGGTGGAGCCTGTCACACATGCAGGAGCGTACCCAAGCAATATGCTTGGGGGGCAGCTACACCTGCATAAAAAAAGTTTGCCTACTTTTTATTGATTTTATTTTTGGACTACAGTTATTTACCACCCTAATTTATTTTTTCTCGAACTCTCACGCCCCCAAACAAATCACCCTGATCCACCCCGTATACATAGTTACCCTTATGTGCATGGTTTACATATCTCTCGTATGGTTAATATCAATGCCATAAATTTTTATTTACAAAAGTATTCCCTTTGTTCCACAATATCTGCCACTTTTAAAGTTTTTATTTTATTTCATATTATCTGTCATTTTAGAATTTCAACACTACATTAATTATATAATTTTCAATTATGCCCTTATTAACTCTTCAACGCTCTCTCTGTATTAATTAATAAATAAAAGTATTTTGATCTAACAATATCTATTTTTCTAGAATCAATACATATTTATTGAGTTTTTTAAGATTTGTGCAAATATAAAAAACAACTATTACTTAGGAACAGAGAGAGTATGTACAAAATAAAATAAAATATATATACATATAAAATAAGTGTGTATATATAAAATTTTTATTGAAAATATGAGTATATTTGATAGGCCACTACTTGTGAAGAAACTTGGTGGATAAATGAGTGAAAATAATTAAATAATTGCAACAGTCACACTTTCCAGTTGTTTCGTGGGCGTGTTTTATTCAGTCTGGATCTCCGTTCCGTTCACAGTTCCGTAACGGAACCGTACTTCACGAGTCACGTGCTTTCAATCATGCATGATTTTTGCTTGTTGATCTTTCAAGTCATAAAAATTCCATTTCTTTTTTCATGCCTCGTGATTTTCATGATTTTATTATTTTATTTTATTTTTCTTCAGTTCTTTAATTTCCCACAATTGTAGTTTGCTTGCCAACTTTTTGCTTACTTTGCAAGAGATGAAACCGAGCATTATTAATTATTTAATTTTAGGAGATGAAATTAAAGTGATGAAGATTGGATTGGATTAACTAAATCATATATGGGTGTAAACGAACTAAGCCTGACTCGAGCTCCGACATATTTTCGAGTTTGAGTTCATATAGTTTTCATTTTCTGAGCTCGTGCTCATTTTTTTTTATTATTATTTTTACTTTTACATTAATGTTTTTTTATTATAAATTATTTATATCGTAAGTGTATACACGATTTTACTTCATGTTCAATATTATTAATATCTATATAAAGTTATATATAAATTAACTCTAGCTAGCATTTATGGATGACATTTGGCATCATATATACAATACGTGTCATGCTTATGTGTCATCCTACTTACGCCTTAATGAATATTAGTGCTAGTATTAGTATTAGTATCACTAGTAATATCAGTATTACGATTAATACTAGTACATCGGCATCATCATCAGTATCGATATTAGTGTCAGTATCAGTATCAGAATCAAAAATCGAGACAGATAATTTAATTTTCAATTATTCAACAAACAACTAAAAAGTGGAGTCATGTCAACTTTAAGGGGAAGTTAGTAAATTAGGCTCATTTAAATATCGGCCCAATTATAAGACTTTAATAAATAGTAGCCCAATAGTATGTATTGGGCTCAATAAAAGATTATCACAAGTCATATCTTGGGCCCACTAGTATATATATTGCCACAAATCTTGGTCGAAAATATATAAATTAAAAAATTAAAATAAGTGACATAGTTAGAGGATGAAAATATATTATCCCAAAATAATACGTTGGAAATTTTCTTGCCAACACTTTTTAGATCGAGATTTTCACACTTGATCTATATGATTTTATGTACATCTCTCGTCCAGTTTACAAGTTATTCCACGAATAAAAATTTTAGTCCATCCACCTAATCTTTAATTATTTGCCAACATACCATATTGATTTGTAGCATACATTCTTATCGTCAAATTAAATGTCCTCTTAATTTCAAATCATACTATGCAATGAAATTAAAAGATCAACTCGGACTAGATCCCATGCATTGTTTCCCTAATTTATTAGTATTCTATTCTCTATCAAAATATTTCAGACATTATCTTCGACATACAGCTAGTTATTTTTTTTATTATTTAAAAAAATATTATTTAATTAATTTTTTCGAGAAATTCTACTATATAACCTGGATGGATGAGATTTTGTGTTTGATTTTGTTCCCATCAAATTATATTTTGTATTAATTAGATGTTCAATCACGTTTGTTTATATATATAGGTTCACAACTTCACGTGGTCTCCCCATAAAACATGTCACATACTATATGTTACATTAT